GCTGTGGCTGTGGTCGTCGATGGGAGTGTGAGGTAGAGGTGTGGATGTACGGAATGTTATGTGAGTCTCCTCTTAATACACACCTACACCCTTATTCATATAATAATATAGCCATTTTCAAACTCTATTATCTCAATGAATGATGTTTTATCAGACGTCAATAAATTCAAGATAATACTGTGCATAACTTTGATTAAGATAAAGGAACACACACTGTTATTTTGCGATTGTGAAGTTACAGTTGATCTATAGAAGTTACAAAAGTTATCTTTCGATTATTAAGGGTGTGAATGTGAGTTTGAGTACGGGTATGGATCTTCTCTTCAACAGAGCCCATACCCACATCCACACTCTTATACACGTGATACGTATCAAGGTAATCGAGTTTTCATAAATAACTTCATTTCAAAGATCTTCAAAATGAGTGAAAGATAATTTAATTTTAGAATTTCGTTCTCTTTGATTCATATTGAAATTATATGAAAAATGAGCATGATCGTCGACAGATTTATACTGTTTTATTACCTGTTGATATGTATATGAGTCAAAGAATACATAAATAGTGAGAAAAAACCTATGTGATAAGAGAAAGCCAATGGCGAAATTTGAAGACAATTAGATTATCTCACGGTCATTCACTGCATAGTAAAGAAAATAAAATTTATTGGTAAATTCAGAACGATGACAAATATTTTCGTAAGAAAAAACAATGATGAAAATACTTGTTTAAGTCCGATATAGTTTTTATATTCCAATTAATCCCCGACATAAATAATATATTGAACAACTTGATATGGATTAATAAGACTGAACTCTTGATTAGATCCTACAGAGTCCATTTCCCCATTTAAATCATGTGTATGGGCTCCAGCATTATGAATGACAATATGTGCTGTATCGGTTGGTATAGTATGAGTATGAGTCATATGATCATGTGCACCACCACCAGTTGTCATTCCTCGTCCGCTACCACCCATAGGACCCGAACCTGTTATTCCACCATGATTATGACCGGGATCTGTGTGGTCATGTATATGAACTCCATTTGTTCCCAATGATAATGTTCCTTTACCATGTTTATGAGCAGGTAGTTGTTCTACGGTAAGAGTATGCGTTGTCTTTCCTCCGGATAGACCAAGTTGAGTGGCATGATTCACTCGAATTTGCAATGTATCAACACCAATCGGTTGTCGACCTCGAAAATCTGGTAAATTAAATGTTGCCATACCATCACCGGTTCCATATCGAGTGCCGATAATTCCAAACAAACGTTGATATACGATACGAGATATGGATGTACCATCACAAATCATCCAAGGCAATTCCGGTGGTTGTTCTCCTGCATAAAGTCGAATTTCACCTGTTAATATTGTTGGTGGTGGAATGATCGGTGTTTCAACAATATGACTCATTGTATTTACTGTACGAATAATTGCTCCATTAACTTTATCAGCTGTCAATTGTTTAGCAATAATAGCTACCTGTAAACGATCAGTTAAATCTGTTAATTTATACACCTTGAACGATTTCGGGATAAATTTCTCTCCTGTCCATTGCATTTCGATAGCTTCTTGACTGAGAAGATTTTGAATTTCAGTCGACGAAAAGATGTCGTTGGTAAGTGCTGATAATGAACTACCGGAAGCGCTACCTACCGATCCAGAACCAGTCACTCCAATGCCAAGCAATGGAATCGATAAACCTCCACCGCCTGATGTAGTTGAAGAAGTAAGTTGATTATGATTATAATCGAAATATGTATCTGAGAAATTATGACGTTCAGTTTCTGTCTTATTGTAAGAGAATAGTTTATTTATTTCGTTAGTCAAACGATCCGGATTGAGATCAGTCGATGACCATACTTGATCAAATAACTTCGCATCCAAGATTGTTTGCGCAGAATTTGACATTGCTAGAATACGTAAAAAAACCTTTCTTTTCAATATTTTCATTAAAACTAACCTTGTTGACTCAAGGAAATAAATTGATTTTGAAGATTATTTATTAATCCTGATGTATTTACATTGGCATTCTCTGTATAAATCATCATTTTAACATTTGCAACATAGTTACTGATAAATTTTGAAGCTTGATTACGATGAATATATAATGCATTTGTATTACCTCCATCAGCTGTTGTTTTACTAAGAACATCTTTTAATTGATCACCAGTAATTGTTACAAAATTAGTTGATACTTGTTTAAATCCAGCAAAATAAAAAGCGATTTCAATTTCATAATCACCATCAAGAATTTTATGCATAATCATCTTAGCTTTTTCTTCATTTGAACATGCAAAACGAAATGTAATTGAAAGAGAATTTGGATGAACAGTACGAAAAGGATGAATACCTTCGACAGGACTACTTCCAATATTAACAATAAAAGCCATTAATGAATCAATCATTAATGGAGCAACGTCCCAATATTTTGCATATTGAGCGATAGTTGAATCATATTTTTTAATAATTTCTTTACGAGCTAATTCATTAACATCATTATTACCCAATGTCAATGTCATACGTAATTCATTCTTTACTGTCCATATCCATGTTGTATCATTTTTGTCAGCAGCAGATATCATGATAGGAACATAATAAAAGATCCATTTTTGTGGTTTAGCAGCATTTTCATTTTCATTTGATAGAGAACTATAGATATAAACTTGTGCACCATCATAATTTAAAATTGTTAATATTTGAGTATTAACAACTGCAGTACCCAAACTTGGATTATCACGTTCAAGCAATGGTAATTTATCATCTGATAGAACAACAGTAATGAAAAATATAGCTGTCAAGAATAATTGGATCATTATCGTTCCTATAGGTATCTTCAAATGCTGTGCTGTGTCAATGATTTGATGGTCTGATTTACTTTATCTTGACTAATCTTTAAAAGAGTATATTTCTCTTCTTGATCAATCAAAAATAAGTACTTCATCATATAAGTATAACAGGATTATATTGAAGAGTTTCATCGTTAGAATTCTCCTCTTTCTTTACTTCTTTATTGATAAAAAAACATATACCTCGTGACGATTCTACATCAACATCGTTAATTAAAAACGTGAAAACAACCACAATAATAAAATGATTAATAGATGCGTCAAGAGTTTTCTCTTCTAAATAGTTGAGATCGCTTCTTCGAGTGTGGGTGTGGGTATGCATGTCTGAAGTTTTTGTTTAAATCCACACCCGCTTGTCGTATCATCGGCATTGATAATTGTTGTCTGTGTTGTATGGAGACCTAGATCAATTATTTCGATACAAGCATCTTTCTGTTTGAATTCGGAATACTGTTGTGTGTTAATAAGTTAAACAATACAATGGATAGGTTCATCCGAGATATAGACTGGATTCTCTGTTGATCGATTTGTTAATGTAATTGTAATTCCAGGATCCTTCTTGTTTGCGTTGTTACCAATGCTTTAAGGGGACCCCTCAAGGGGGAAGCAGCTGATTTTTTTAATTTAAATCAGAGAAAAAATATAAAAAAAATCAGGAAAATCCGAAAAATCAAATGTAACTAGTAAATTTTTAATCTCTATTGTTCAAAACATCAATTTATAGTGGAAAAGCTAAAATCAGATTTTCTTAATTTCTGTGATTTTTTGATTTTTCTGATTGTTTTGATTTTTTTTTGATTTTTCTGATTATCTTTATTTGAAATCAGTTGGTTTTTAATTAGAAAAATCAAGAGGAAAATAAAAAAAATCAAGAAAAAAACTCAAAAAAACAAAAAAATCAGAAAAATAAAAAAATCTAATTTCAGCTGTTTCCCCTTGCCCCACAACCACACTCACACCCACATCCTAGCTCACCCACTCACTCTTCTGTAATATGTTTGCATTGAATATATTTCTGTATTCGATGTCTACCGCGTAAGGTTTTAGTGTTGCAATAATTTAAAGAATTCTATCGATCGAATACAAATAGTATTGATCATTTTGAATAAGATATCCCGTTGATTGGAAAGACTTTCTTCTGAACTTGATCCTTTGGGTGTGGTGTGGGTGTGGGTGTGGATGTGGGTGTGGATGTGGGTGTGGGTGTGGGTGTGGGTCTGGGGTGTGGGTGCGGGTGAGTGTAGGTCGATAGAATATCATATCCACACCAGTGGCGTACGCAGGGGGGGGGGGGGGGGGGGGGGGGGGGGGCCCCCCCCCGGGGGGAAAAAAAGGGGGGGGGGGGGGGAAAAAAAAAAATTTTTTCCTGGTAAAAAAATTTTTTTTGGGCCAGGGCCGCCCCCCCCTACGAAGTTGGGCCCCCCCCCTTGAAAAATTTCTGCGTACGCCACTGATCCACACCCATAACCTACACCCACACCCACACCCCACACCCACCCACAACCACACCACACCCCAGCAACACCCACACCCTATTGTTATTGTTCTTCTTGACGATATCAGTCAAATAGAATAAGAAACTAAAAAGACTAGACGAATTAAAACTAAATTAACCAATGTGATTATTGTTTCCACGTAGCAACACACATCTTATTGTTTAATTCAATTTTGATTCACCTAGTCTGTTTGACTCCTAATTAATGAAGTATATAAATATTGACTTTTCGAAGATGCAACAAATACATAAATGAACATAAATATGAAAAACTCATATGTCGAATTGAATGATTTACCGGATGAAATCCTTCTAATTATTTTGAAAAAACAGGACAATCTTGAAGTACTTTATTCTTTTCAAGGAGTCAATGAACGACTGAATAAAATTATACATGATCCAATATTTACAAGTCGTTTGAGCTTTCTCAACTGGTCGCTTAATAACTTTATCAATAAATTTTCTTCTGATATAATACTTGGTCGATTTTGTTTACAAATTTTTCCTGAAATTCATATGAAAATCAAATGGTTGGTTCTTGATTCATCATCTATGAAAAATATTCTACATGCTGCCAATAATCCTCATTTACATGTACTCGGTCTATATAATATCGAGGAAGAGACAGCTAAATGTCTTTTTAACGGTAAGGAAATCTCAATAGAATTGTTTTAATTCTAAATAAGAAAAAGATATGCATACTAAATTTATTATGGACTATATTTAAATGAGACAATTGATGAGAAGGAGAGATTATTTCTAAAAGGAAAATTCCTTTCTATTAAAGATTATGTTAATCTTTTGACTATTTGTATTGATCTTTGATTATAACGAGTATATGTAAAATTGATTATGTTACGTGTTTAGATGAAAGACTGTCATGTATTTTTAAAAATCAAATTACAACACTTATTATTTCAATTGATCCAGATAAAAAAAAACTGTCAACAATGGAAAACATATGCAATCGTATCTTTACTCTGTTTATGAATTTAACTCATTTAATGTTTTACGATGCTTCATGTGAAAATAATGTTCGATTATTATTTAATATTCCATCTCCTAGGTTTTCGTCTTCATCTCTTTTGGTATTAAATATTAAAGTTCAAACTTTTAATGTTTGTCTTTATCTTCTCGATGGTCGTTTCGAAAAACTTCGTACACTCTATATTGAATTGGCTAACATTTTTCCTCCATTAGGAGAAATTGAAAATCAGGTTAGTTTTACAAGAAAATAAATTTGATTTTGTTTTTGTTTTTGTTTTTGTTTTTGTTTCTCTAGAGAAAAATTCCAAATCTGAAGGGTTTTGTTTTGACTTGTATGTTGAGAACATCGTATTACAATGAATTAATTCTTCCACTTATTTATCGAATGACAAATTTAGAGGAACTTGGTTTGTATTTCACGGCCGATGATAATGAAACATTTATTGATGGAAATAATTTAAAGAAAAATATTCTTAATCGTATGTCACAATTAAATCAATTTAGTTTTGATATTCGTTCGGTTATATTTATTAATAATGAAATGAATTTACCATCGAAAGAAGACATTCAACAAACATTTATTGATTTTCAATATACGAAAATAATATCTTGTGTTGACTATCTTCTAGAGTATAAACAGGCTTTATGTCATATTTATTCATATCCATTTTTAATGCGACGTTTCGAAGATATAACAAATAAGTTTCCAGGTGGATTATATCCATATGTTCGTCTTGTATCATTATATGATGACCACCCTTTCGAACATGAATTTTTTATTCGAATATCTCAATCATTTCCATTTATGGAAAAATTATTTATCAATAATCGTTATGCACAAAATCAGAAAGAATTTTATAAATTAATGAATGATAATTCAAATTTATCAATTGCTAAATATTATAATCTTATTAAACTTGATATAGATCGAGCTCATGATGATTATATTGAAGAATTTCTATGTAATACAAAAACATATTTACAAAATAATATTCTTCTTTATATCTGTTATGAAGCATTACAAAGAGTAACACATAACTTTACAAGAGATGATACACGAATTAATTGTGCAAAAATAAATGAACTATGTTTATTGGGAAAAGTCAAAGATTCAAAATCTTTACAAGATTATTTTCCTTTTGCAATAATAAATTGTTTGTCATTTATATAAAATACGTAGATTATTATTATTATATTAAAAGTAAAAGAGAAAAGTATCTTATGTATTGTATATTAATGTAAGGAAATAATGTTTACAAAGAAATTAATATCATCATGTGTAAGAAGATATAATCTGTAAAATAAATTAATCTTATTTAATAAAAGTATTTTTAAAATACAGAATATTTAAACCAGTGGCGGAGCCAGGATTTATGGCTAGATGGGGCTCAGCCTCTCAAGAATTTTCAACCCGTGTTAGGTATATGAAATTTATCTATTAATATTAATAGTGATGTAATATCGAGTTAATTCTTCTTTATCCTGACTCTTTTCTGAGGACACAAGCTGAGTTAACAAATAGAAAAAAACAACATGTTTCATTCTTTATCTCATTGAAATAACAACAATGACCATAAATAATACAATAAAAAAAAAATGTTCTATTTTACATTTCATTTAAATAACAACAACGACAAAAAGAACAAATAAAAAACATGTTCGATTTTGCACAGAGTTGCGCAAGTACGAGTACGTACTTGTACTCGAGAGAAAACGCGTACTTGCCCAGCTCTGATTTTGCATTTTATTAAAATAACAATAACGATAATGACAATATATAAAACAAGAAAAGTCTTCCAATTTACTAATAGTAAATTGGAAGATTTTTCTTGTTTTATATAATTTCAATAGAAAGTTTCTATTGAAATTATTGTAGTAAGACGGGCGAAGAAAATTGACTTTTTACAAATGAATGTTTTTCGTCCGTCACAGTATTAAAATTTCAATAAGAGGAAAAGAACCAAGAGGAAGAATAAAATGAAGAAAGTCAACCGTATGTTTATTCCCATTTAACAACAAAAGTTTCAACTCTGAAGAGGAGCATATTACGTACGAAACCATCAATTATGATATATCTATTGTTATACATTTATATTTACATTTATGTATTTTATTTTACATTGGTAATTTTAAATTATAATCTATGTAACATATATTATGAGTTAAGCAAGAATAAAATATTTTTAAAATGATCAATACAACCTACCCACACCCGAATTTTCATTCTCTCTCCTTACAACAACAGAAATCGCTGTATTCTAATTAAAAAAAAATCAATGCAGTCTTCTATAAAGTTAAAATAAGGTATTCATAACCTACAAAACTTGATTGAAGCTTGTATTTGTATTGACTGTATTTTCTATTATTCAAAGGCATATCAGTTCTCCAAAATTAGATATATATGTGAAAATCAGAATTACTAACACCAAAACACTTTTGTATAATGAGATTTATTTTTCCAAAATCTCACTAGATGGGGCTCAATGATCCATAGGTTGGCTCAGCCCCATCTGGCTCACCCTGGCTCTGCCACTGATTTAAACGTTGATAGAGGAATTTTAACTCTATACCATGGGAGCACAAGCTAATTTTTTACATTTCTAGCATTAGAAATTAGTTTGTTTGCCGTTGATTTTATGCATATTTATCAAAATGAATGAAAAGAATACTGTCATTAAAAAGATCATTTCCAATGTAACATGAGTATTTATATATAAAAAAAAAATGAAAATAAAAATTTTCGATTATTTTCTCCAATTTAGGGTGGGGTGTCGTGTGGATGTGGGTGTGGGGTGTGGGTGTGTGGGTATGGATGTGGGTATGGGGTGTGAGTGTGGCTGTGGCTGTGGGGTGTGGATGGGTGTGGGTGTGGGTGTGAGTGTGGATGTGGGGGTCGGGGTGGGGTATGGATGTGAGTGTGGGGTGTGGGTGTGAGTGTGGGTGTGGGTGTGAGTGTCACTTAATAGAGGATCCACACCCACACCCACACACTCACACCCAGACACCCACACCCTCAGGTAAATTGAACTCACCAGTTAACATCAATAACAAATATTTGAAGAAAAAAATCGTATGTTAGAAGAATAGCTAGTGGATAATTAAGTCTCTGAAAAAGAAATGAAAACAATTCGATGAATAAGCAACTTTTTTTGTTTTTCCTTCAACATTAGTATTAAGTAAAAAATTAAGTCTTGGTGAGATTTATCGGTGAGCTCATATATTACGAATATAAGAGAACATATTCATAGAGATTATGTGAGCATCAATCATCTTCTGAAGAGATTTAAAAACATCGAAGAATTTTAGGTTAAACGGTTTTCACGAGACGATAACGGCTTTGTTTCAATGTAATTTTCCGATCGATGGTCTTTCATAAAAGAATTTTTCATTGTGTAGCTGATAGTACTTCAAATGGGTTACGCTCGGCCTA